GCATGCAAATTTTTGAAACAGAAATTTAATTTAATATCACTATGGGCGTATGGTCCTAAGGATGTGTTCGACTTGGTTAAAGATTTTATGAAAACCAATTTCGTTAGAAAATATAATTTATTTTCTTCGTCAGAGAAATGAGTATGTACACGTGCTATATTCTGTTTGAATTAATTGATTGCGCCAGAGGCGCTTTCTCGGTATGTGTGTAAGACCGAGAAGTTGAAAGAAAAATTGACAGGCGCGGTAAGAAATTACCGGCCGCGTCTTCGTATATTGAATGGGTCCTTAAAAGGACGGTTCTATTGAATTCGCTCGTTGCAGCCCCTTTCCTGGTGTTGGAGGAACTCCGTTTGGAAAGTGGTCTTCCGTCTTGCAACTGCTCTCTGAGCACGCTCTAGGCGGCGAGGTCTGGATGGCCACGGAACGAGTTTCCGGTGTGCCTGAAAATGCAACCGTCTCGGTTCTCGGCGTAACAGAATGTTCTGTGTACCAAGGAGAGAGAGGTCTCCGAATTCGGATGTCGCCAGCAACGAGAGTGTCCCTTGGTGGCCGAGTCAACCGGACGCAGAACTCTAGGGGAATTAGCTTCCACGCTAGAGTCTGAGGAGGTGACGGCGGTACTGATAAGTCAGCGGGCCGCTTGGTTGAAGAGTGCGGCCAAAGCTGGGACTCTGTTTTTCTTTTACGTGCCTTGCGAGGCAACGTGAGAAAAACGGCGAGACAAATTTGCCTCTGGTTACGCTCATGATGTAAGAAGATAGGTGTACCATTGCCGTGAATGCGCAGTCGTCCAAAGTAATGATCGCTCTTCGACCAATCAGGAATTGGTCCAAAATGCTAAAAAGTAATATGGCTGCCAAAATATGTTGACACGGTTGACACCGAAGGTTATTAAATATAATAATATTAAAAGATATTTAAAAACTATGCCAACGTGTTGTGTAAAGAATTAGTATAAGTCGTACTGATCATACGAGATATCATAAGAGATATTAAATATATGTATTCACACATTTGTGTTGGAAACTACTTAATTTTCTATATAATATTTATTAATTGATATTATTTATTATTGTGGGTAATTGTCATTTATTGCTACTGTATTTTATATTGCAAATTTATTATTTTTATAAGATATTTTTATAAATTTTAATTACATTTTAATAATATGATAATTCTATATTAGAATTTCGCGGATGCATTTTGGACCACGTTTGATTGGCTGTCCTATCATGCTGACGTCATACGGCTGCCATTATGCGCAATAGTACACCTATCTTCTTACATCATGACTAGCAGATGATAAACGCAGTGGATGCGCTAACCGCTGCATAAACGAATGCACCCTATTAGTCGAGAGTAGACGAGATAGAAAGAGAAATCCGGTACCGAGTCACTGCCATTGAGTAAAAAGAAACAGGAGGGAGCATATACTAGCCAGGACTAGGTAAATCCGCGGACGGATGTACGTCATGGTAGCCATCTTGAGCGACCACTTTTTGAAAGTGAGAGGGAATGCTCGAGCATAGCGGCAAGCGGCATACCGTACGCCGTACGCATTAATATGCAGTGTATAGTCTTTTATGCAACAGTGTATGGAAATAAACGATCAAAATGGTATACTGTAGAGCTTGTGGCATAACAGCAGCAAATCATGGCATAACAGCAGCTCGAAATCATGGAATAACGTTTCATCGGTTAGTATTATCAACAATAACGAGTATTTTTATTTTGGAGATTATAATTATATGTATAGTATTGTGAAATTGTAGATTCACAATAATTACTAAATAATTTTCACTCACAAACAGGTTTCCGAAAAATCCGGATCAAAGAAATGCATGGATAAATTTTTGTAAGGACGAAGGATTTAATATAAATTTAGATTTTAGATTTTAACATTGCTCTTATGGAAATACTGCACGAGTGCAATTCTAATGAAAAAACGCCATTAAAATTTGGTATTATTGTTGCATATTATAGTTATTTTCTTTTAATTGTACATTATTTCCTAATTAAACATAACAAGTCATTCAATATTGGCGCCCTTGAGCGGCCATCTTGAGCGACCACTTTATATAGTCACTTCCGTCCGCACTTTTAAGACCAAACGCTCCCTCCTGTTTCTTTTTACTCAATGCTTGGGATTTTTGCACCAACGTGACATCTTGGGTGTTTACGATTATTCAAGTTCGAGTTAGTTTCACTAGGACCGAAAAATGAGATAGACATAATCATCTAGACCTTTATGATTTATGACAACTCGACGCTGTCTTGTATTGCTTGAGTTAAATTAATTGAATTTGTTGAGTTTATAGAGCAAATTTTATTGTAATAAAAAAATGTCAACTGCAAATCAGTCTATAAAAGAAACAAATAATGTTGGTATGTATGTTGGTATACCTCTTTAATAGATATAGGCCGGTATTCATAGTCCGTTCTTATATTCAAGATCGTCTTAAGCACGAACTTATATTCGCTCTCTTCGTCAGACACAATCTATGTGTGACGAAGAGAGCGAATATAAGTCCGTGCTTAAGACGATTTTGAATATAAGAACGGACTATGAATACCGCCATAATTATATATATATATGTATATAATTATATTTATTAAACTTCAACAAATTCAATGAATTTAACTCAAGCAATACAAGACAGCGTCGAGTTGTCATGAATCATAAAGGTTCTAGATGGTTATGTATATCTCATTTTTCGGTCCTAGTTGAAACTAACTCGAACTTGAATTATCGTAAACACCCCTTGTGTGACATGCCTTAACTATGACATCTTGATCACAAATTTTTAATAGAATACAATGGTCGTGAAATCACCTTATATTCTTACACCGTGGTAGCAGTTAATGATTGTTCGTGATCTCATTTATAAGATGGTTCTTCATAGTAATAATGGGTGCGGTCGAGTTACTGCTACAAATGCTTTGAAGCGTTTCGACTGCGGTCAATTTAGCACTTCGAAACATTTCAATGATATAAATGACGTCACTG